TCCCAACCATCGCTGTTCACGTTTGTTTGTTCGCTGGACGTGTTGAACGCAGCTCCGATATGAACGGCAGAAGAAGAAGGAAGCCACCAACCCCAAGCGGAAGAAAAAGTCCAAGTCCAGGAAGTCGCCACCCCCAGAGCTGGAGGAGGAGAGTGGTGACAAGGAGGTGGTGTGGACGGAAAGGGGGATGGAGGACTACGAAACGTCCGACCACTTCACGAGGCGCAACAAGATGTCAAAAGACATCGGGCGTGGAGTTTCGTTGTCGGCAGAGGCTCGCGCCGCGCTGCCATCGTTGGACAACTTCATGTCGCACCAGAACCCTACCAGCGGGGAGTTTTCGCTTGACCTCGTCTTGGAGAAGTGCTTGGACCTCACCTTCCCGCAAAAGGCGCGAAAGTTGTTTTTGGATAAGGTATGTTAATTATGTTGTTGCCTTGTTGCTACACGCACCGCTTTGCTTTCATGTGTCCCGCGGTGCGCGTGTGTGCGGAATATTGAAACAGGAAATTCCAGTGCTTGCAATGGTGAAACCGAATATGTACGATGAAGGTGCATAAACAACCCGAGACCGCCCGCCCTCTCTTCGTAACCCATCCACCCCGCACAAAGTCGCTGCCCCCCTGCTCCCGTGCGCCCAATAGCTCTGCCACGATTCTGAAATAGCCTTGCACACGACTTTGACTCGAAACCTGCCTCGAAACCCGCCCCCATCTAACCTCCGTGTCTCTCTCCCCCACCCCGCCCCCGCTCCTCCGTTATATTGTGGGCAGACGAACGCCTACGTCAAGCACTGCACGACGGCGCCGCCGCCCGGGGAGGAGGACAAGCGGAAGCCACACCAGATGAAGTAGTCCGCCACGCTCGGTTGCGTCACGCTCGGGGAGCGGTCCGAGGAGCGCAACACCGACGGCATGTTCGAGGAGCAGCACATCGACGGCATGATCGGCATTTTCATCACCATGGGCCTCACGAAGAAAGTCCGGATGCGAAAGCACTGGAGCCGGTCCGCCCACGACAACTACCCGCTGGTCCAGAAGTGCATGCCGCGCGACGTGTTCGAGCTCTTGCACTGCCGCTTCCTTCACTGCTTCGACCCCAACGCTCCGGAGCGACTGCTACCCGATGGCGAAGAAACCTCAGACTACGACTCCAAGTGGCGNCCAGAAGTGCATGCCGCGCGACGTGTTCGAGCTCTTGTACTGCCGCTTCCTTCACTGCTCCGACCCCAACGCTCCGGAGCGACTGCTACCCGATGGCGAAGAAAACCCAGACTACGACTCCAAGAGGAATATCAGGTGTCTTCGTTTTCAATCTGTGTGTCCTGTTGAAAACCTGGGGTGTCGATTTCGTTTGGGTCTCGTCGTTTCGGTTTTGTTGCAGTTGGGATGGTGGGGGCGGGACAGACGTGGGTCGAAGGGTACCGAAGCCCCCCGGAAAGTCGGGGATTCTCCCCCGTCTACGGCGCCGCTGTTCCATGTGGGGGCCGTATGGTTTGTTTTTGGTTTGCTGGCAGTGAAGTTTGGCACATGCACTCTTTATGAGTAGAGGTTCCTTCCGTCGAGTACATCACCGGACACTCAATTTTGTCTTGTAGTCGTCCTGGTACAGTAGATAGAATGACAAATGACGGNCTTCCCTCGAGTACATCACCCGACACTCAATTTTGTCTTGTGGTCATCCTGGCACAGTAGATAGAATTGACACATGATGAGCGTGTTCCTGCCGGTAGCGGCCCACCCTTTAAGGTGCTGTGTTTCTGGTGCTCTTCCCTGTCTGGCAGGGAGCTAGAAGAGATCCTCAACACTGCATGGGCGACGAACGTCGAGTGTGACAATTGGTTGTCGTACGACGGGCAAATGATCAAGACTGTTTCGAAGTACTCTAGCAAGGCTTTCTACTGCCCGGCGAAGCCCATCAAGCACGGTGAGCATGCGCACGCATTTGAAAGCTTGTCTCACGAAAAGGGTCTCCGAGAGTAGTTTGACCGTGGTACACGTGAACAATCCGATGTGTTTCTTGTCAAAAGTAGAGAAAGGTAGGGGTTGAGGGGGGTCGTCGAGTTGGGTGGTGGCACTTATCCACGCCCCGGTGCGGCGTTTTCCCGCTTTTTCCACAACGCCATTTCTTTTTCTGTAGATCATTGATCGCAGACTCCGGAAATCATTGATACGCCTTGGTGTCAACAGCTGCTGGTTCCAACATTAGTCTTACCGCAGCTGGTCCCTTCGGCCTCCCTGTTGGCGGACGTTCGTCCGTTTTTTTCTTGATGTGTGCCAGGCATGAA